GCGTGGCTGGCCTTGAAATCGTTAATGCTATTGAAGAAAAAGGAATAGATTAAAAACTTTACGATATAATTGAACAGTTTTATACACATTTCGGGCAAAGCATAAACAGACGGGCCATGTTAAAAGAACTGGCTTCTCATCTTTTTGTTTGTTTGTAGTTTCTAGCAGTACAAGTCCGCAGACATGCCGCTGTGCCACTGGGGGTTGTTCAAAATATTACACTTAAAAACTAAGTCCAACTCGGTGGTCTTCTAGACACAGCTTTCTAGTTACTTTGAGATTCCGATATTCAGATATTATAAAAGGATTATCAAATATTAATCTTCTCAGCAAAAAACCTGGTGAGTGAACTGAAGCTTTCGGTTTGAAGAAGCAATTAGAACCTTAATTCGTATTATTAACTGTATTTCTGAAGAGTAGTTTACATTCTGAAAGGCTCTGTCATGAGGCTGTCACGTCCAAAGCATATCACTGTCCCATGCGTAATTTCCATAATCTTTCTAGAATACGTGGACGATGGTTTCTTTGCACTCGTTCCAACAGTTCCATTAAACAAAAATCCACAGGCACACAACGACTTAGCCGATATGTCTTCGTACAGAATAGCTACTTCAGTTATGCAAAAGTCGAATGAGTATATCGTGGATGCAATTTCATCACTTTTCCATGTCGAGATATTTTTTATTATGTTGTGGTGGACAATTCGAATCACTGACCTCTGTGTTCATGGACTCTCATCGTCAACAAAACACTGCAGCTTGCTTACCACGCTTGTTGTAGGTTTCTTTCTAAATAGTCCCGTGACCCCTAGTTGATTCATATTTCTCTGTTTCATAAGGGACCTCAGTGGGTTAGAAATTCTGCATCTTCGACCTGAATACATCTTTATGATCTGGGTGTATGAATATTTTGCGTAGGAAAGAGCTATTATATATACCCTTCTCAAAAGCGATCAATTTTGAGTGGAATCATACTACGTAAAAAACGCCAATGTTAAGATATAGTTCTGACACATTCTTTTCCCCGGATAATTTACATTCGCTGTGGTTGTCACGTGACTTGCTGATTTGCAAAACGTTTTAATTTAACGTACTCAAGCCTCTGTGTTGCCGTATAAATCTGCGGAAAAGAACTTGGTATCAATATACTTCGACAACTCGAAAAATTATTGTGTATTATAGAGCTGTGAAGAACTGGTACTCTATAAAAAACACAGCTGTGTCATAAACTTACTTCTCCAACATACTCATGCAGATTTGGTTACTTATTGCGTTTCCTCCTTAACAACACATAACAATAAACACCTGTTTCAGCAGTGACTAACAAAAGTTCAACTCTGTGTATTTATTTCTTGTTCATCTTTCAAATTTAGCGCAAAACTACGCGAGGGCTAGCTGCTTTATTCATTTAACAACAAAAAGTGGGATTGAACGTAACTTTATAATGACCCCATGGCTGAAAAGGCGAGCATTTTTTATGAAAGGATTCAAAATCGTGACCAACAGATTGGGAGTCGTGCGCCCTAACCATCAGGCTAATATATCTTGTTTAGAGTGTATTCTGAGATTGTCCAGTCAGGAAATACATTTCTTTTGTTGTATATTACAATTAGAGTCATCTTGTGAGTAGCAGCTTTCAAACATGTTTCGTCTTCAGGATAATACTATATCATAGAAACCTGTATTTCCCAAGCATATCACAAGTAACAGCTTACTCAGCCAGCTGGTCTGGAACAGTTTGTAAACGTAGACAACACGAAAATTGATACATCACCCGAGGAGTGTAATAAAATGATGAAGATGAATAATCGGTGTTCATAATTTTCACCTGCATTAAAAATGATTTAACTAAAACCCATTTCAATCTCATTCACTTTGATACCTAACAATGCTTCTTCTTCATCGGAATTCGGTCCATGTTTTGGACAAGTGAACAATGCTTCAGCTTCGCGATCGGGATTTTGGTCTTAATAGACCAGAGAGGATCAGGTACAAAACACCTCTTCCTCTTTTCAACTATGGTTTTGGAACAGATGAATGTTGATGTAGAAACGTCATGAGGGTCGAAGTATACAGCACTTGCCCCAACCCCTTTCAGAGCAATGTCCACGTAGGTATCCCCATTTACATTCGTGTGTTGTGCATATAATCACTTAAATTCGGTGTTGTAAAGTCTTACACTTAGCGAACAGTTCCGTTTACGCTGACAAAACATTTCACTCGTTTAAAACTAACATAATGAAATTTTACATAAAATACCCTTTTAAATGTATTTATTTTAGCCTAAACTAGTGTAAGGTTTAAGATCTAGTAATAGGTGGCCTTATTAAATCCCCATTTCTAAAATATATGTTAAGAGATGAGAGGTACTTAGGTCTACTTCCATCATGTATGTAGTAATGATCAAGTTCGCAGAGTTGGTCATTCTTTTGCCAATTCTTCTCAAAATAATTTAGAGAATTATGCAATAGTCAATCGGCTATGGTTTGTAGGTTTACGTAACTGTTCATACATTTTCAACATGGTGGTTAGATTCATTTGTTTGTTTGAATTTCGCGCAAAGCTACTCGAGGGTCATCTGCGCTAGCCGTCCGTAATTAAGAAGCCATAGACAAGAGGGAAAGCACCTGGTCAGCATCGCCTACCACCAACTAATGAGCTACTCTTTAACAACGAATAGTGGGATTGACCATCACTTTATAATGACCCCAAGACTGAAAGGTCAGGCATGTTAGGTGACGGGATTAAAACCCGTGATACTTGAATAAAACATCTTGTAAAGTGCTAGTTAGTTTTCGCTAGAGGGCATTCGACTCTTATTTTGGTGTTCGTATATTTTTACTGTTTATTTGTTTTAATGCAAAGCCACACAATGAGCCACCTGCACTCTGTTAATCGCGGAGAACCGAACCCTGAATTTTAGCTTTGCAAGTCCATACGATTACAGCTCATCCATCGGTGGACTACACTTTTACTATTATTGGTCAGCTGCAATACATTATTTTTTACAAAAACTTGGGCTTTTCTAATTAAATGGTGGGATTTGACCATCAATCTTATAATGTATCCACGGCCCCCAACTGCGTAGTGCAATTTTTGCGGACATGGATTTCAAACCAGAATCATAATCCAGCACGCCATCCACTTAGCCACTCTCAGTCGAGAAACTTGTATCAAGTCACGCGTCATTTCAATCCCAGCTAAGGTAAGTTACATACAAGTGTTTGCATAGAATAACCAACGAGGACCTTCAGTTCTCTGAGAAAGATATTACACTGGTAGATATTGCCAATAAATTGCTTAATTTTGTTATATTATATGTATATATCGTAATGTCGGTTCACGCTATTCGTTGGCAAAACGTTCTCCGAAATTATTTATAAAAGAATATTGACTACCACAAATTGATTTAGGTTTAGATTGGTTTTGAAATTCGCGCAAAGCTACACAAGGGCTATCTGCGTTTGCATTCCTAATTTGGCAGTGAAAGACTAGAGGAAAGGCAGCTAGTGATCACCACCCACCGCCAACTCTTGGGCTGTTTTTTTCAACGAATAGTGTGATTGACCATCCTACAGTAATGCCTCAATGGCTGAAAAGGAGAGCATGTTTAGTGGGACTGGGATTCGAACCCGCGACCCTCAAGCGTTTAGGAGTTGAGAAATTTTGATGTATACTAAACTGATTAATAACAATTTATCTGGAAAGGTAATTCGTAGCTCACCCGAACCTTAAAAAATCCTTAAATTTGTAGCAATCGCAGCTATCGTAATAAAGGTGCTTCAATATAACAATGTTTTGGGACAACATGGGACCTATTGGTCTATTTCGGCTGCTCCATCATCTAAAATAAATTAATTTTTTAAAAATCTTAAAGCCAGTCCCTCATATACTTATCAAGTTGATGACTGAAACTAGATTAAAGGGCAATAAAGAATCTTTTTAACACATTCTGGACGACATCAAACACGGGTTACTTTAATTCGATATGTAAGTTACACTGGTCGGCGCGAAATTCATTGCTATTAAGTTCGTAAGGTGATAATTTTGCTTAGAAATAAAGAAACGATTCTTTAAAATACTTTCATGCATAGCTTTCGAACTTTTTTATTATATTTAAGTGAAAGAGGTTGAGGATTTAACGTTTCAATTATAAAAACAACTACCAGTCATTTATTCACATATTTTTATTACTAAGAATGTTTGGCTTACACACTTTCATCATTTAATGTTTTAAAATGAAATAAACTAATAATTTAGACCCAAAATAAAAAAAACTATTAATATGAAGTACAAATTACAATAACTGTCACATCAACTGTTCAAATATATTTTAAATTTACTTTTGTAAAAAGTAAAACAAATTGTTAAATAAGGATAGAAATTAAATATTTTAAAAATTAATCTACATAAACTTTGCTCATAAAAAAACGTTGCTAAAGATGTATAAAACTGCTACAAGTTGCTCATGATGCATAAATATTTTAAGTACATGTATAAGGCAAGAAAGGGGGCAACAAAGAATCAAGTTCAACTTTTATAACTGATTTTATGGGTAAAGCTGTAGAGTAAATGGGTCATCTGCCCACAGTAGGGATTTATCCCTCAATTTAAACTTTATAAGCTTAAGGTTTACCATTGGCCCAACAGGGGCTTTTATAGCTGTATACAGATTGTAAAAATCTAAACATATATGTATATATCTTCATTGCACATAACCTCAGGGTATACTGAGTTAACTAGATTATATAATAACAATAATAATCAACAAAAAAATATTCTAACCACACATAATTGATTAAACAACACAGGGAAATTTCCCCTTATGCTTCACATCCTAAAGGAGATGATTCAACAGAAAATTGACAAATATAGCTATTGACACAAATCATACCACAAATATAGCTAATGACACAAATCATACCACAAATATAGCTAATGACACAAATCATACCACAAATATTTCTATATAATCATTAAAGCTCAAAAGCGATTTGTGTATTTTTTTTTGTATAGAGAAAAATATCGTAACTTTGTGCACAATAATGTTAAGCATATCATGATAAATATGAATATTAACTGGTTTGGTAGTTGTTACACAATGAGCTATCTGCACTCTGCCAATCACATGAAGGTTAACTCTAATATTACTCACCACAAACACTTTTATATACTAACAACACAATAACTAGTTTTCACGAAAATACATAATGAAATACACTGTAAAAAGAAGTTATTCTTTAAGTTAAATTAATGTATGTAACCACAAAAATACTAAACCTAATCTATCATTTCATTCATTGCTTGCCATCGAGTTAAACAGTTTTGGGGAATTATACCTCTCATGAAAAACCCTGGACAAGAGTAAGTGGAAAAAGAAAAAAGGATTAAACATCTTATAGTGGTGATTTATAATTTATATGTATGGTGTTGTGGTTGTATTTTACTTACCATTTTCAGTCTATTTTCATACAAAAGTCTTGAAGAATATGCAGCATTGATGCCACTAATATGTATTCTGAATTATTCAGTAGACATTCTGCTTTTAAGATATTAAAGAAAAAAGCCCATTTCGGAGATGTACGTTCCTTATCAGTAACCCTATATAGGTAGTGATTGAAGCCACATTTTATATCAGTGAACACTATAAAAGGCTATACTAATGATAAACGTTTTTAAATTTCCTTTCCACAGAGTTTAAGTACATCTAATGTTCTATCAAAAGAACTTTATTAGGTTAGGTCATTTCTGGGAAGTATAACTGCAAATAAAGGTGTTGATAATTTTGAAAAGTTTAACAGAAGGATAAAAATCTCAAGATTTGATAAGTTTGCAAGCATTTACAGAGAATTAATGCCATTCATGCCTTCTATATTAACCCTAAGAGTATTGGATTTTTCACAATTAAATACATTTTACTGAGCAATCTAAGCAATAAATTGCTTGTGGTTCCATTAATGTTTGACACAGGGTTTGGATATGTTAAGTAATACCCATACTAATCAAACAAATAATGAGATGTAAAATACCATCAATATTGCAACTAAAGACTTCTGTGTTCCATTATGAATTTGACATAAAAAATGAATGATTTCATTCAATTCTTAGTCAGCATCGTTTGGGACAAAAATTATTCAATACGTGGATCCCATCAGTAATAAATGCCATAAACACACAAGTTGGTAATTTGAGTTAAACATGCAGCTAAGAGTCCCTGTAGGACTAATACATTGGGGAATTTTTAAGCAAGGCCAAGACTTAATAAATTACCTCTTGGAAGGAGGTTCATATCAGATTTTGTTTTTTTATTTTGCATTAAAGTGTTTAGTGGGTTTCAAGTTGAAGCACAAACACAAAATGTTACCCAAAAACTGACTGATAACACTTAATGTTCAAAGTAAAAACTAGGAAACATATACTCCATCTTTATGAATGTAATTTAAAAACAACAATAAATATATAAAGAATACAGAATCTTAACTATATAGTTTTAATCATATAAAAACTTAAACTATGTTTAATCTTTAAATTCTATAAACGACTAACAAAAACTTGTTTCGATTCATTTAGCTTTTCTCAAGAAGTTTCATGAAATCCAGTTTATAAACTACTAGCAAGACTAAAGAGGCAAATTTTTGTTTTTGATTAAAGATTCATAATAAACATAAAATGAAAAATAAAGCTGCTCGTTAAAAGTAATTCATAAATAATAGTTTTTAAATACACAATTCACAATCAGTACTTCTGAAATCAACATAATTAGTTTTTGATTTTAGAAAAAACATATGTTAGGTAAATATCTATCTAAACAGAAAATTATACATCACAAACTTGTGATGTATAAACATTTCACTTTTAAATCTATTTGTGAATAATTTCTTGGAAAACCCATGTCTGTACTGAAGTTCAAATGAAGCTATTAGACAAATATAGTTTTAAGAGATTTGCTTAGAGGGATCACTTGGTACAGTAAGACTTAAGTTTCTAAACATTATTATTTTTGCAAATGTAAGTAAATGAGGAAATGTGACTAGGCAGCATGTTAATGCGTTATGATAAAAGGGAAGATGACTAGGTTTTTAACTATTTTAAGAAAAACATTAGTAAAAATATGATTATTTTTGCAGTAAATGAATGTAGATAACAAGGTCATCATGTGAAAAGCCTGATCATAATGCAGATATGACAGATAGAAAATAAGATCATCCATACTTGATGTAGAAAGCTTGATCAGAAACAGGACCATAAGAAATGGTAAGGCCATTTTTTCGTGGCATGTTTAGCTACAACTTATGTATTAAAACTTGCTTCTTTTAATTCAATACATTAAGTTGTGCATGTACAGTACTTATAGTTAAAATGGCTCAAGATTTAATCTTATAGCATTAAATTTTCAATAATTTTCTGAGGGGGCATGCCCCCCAGCCCCTCCCAGAAATGGCATGCTTTGCATGCCAGTAGTGTGCTTAGCACACATCTTGTGTCACATTGTTTAGCTGTGGCAATGACCTGACCACTCAAAAATTGCTTCCTACGGCAATGAAAAAGCAGTCACAACGAATAGAGAAAAAAGGTCATCATATTAAAAGCCTGAGTAGAAATTAGGCATGATAGGTATGGTTAGACATAACTAATAGTATAGTACATACAGTTATGTTGTTGTACAAATGATGGTAAAATATCAAACTTCACTCTTCATATAAATATATTAGATCAATACCATTTTAGAAAACAGTATTATAAAACAAGGTTTCAGTCAACTGTATGAATCATACTGCATGGGTTTCAGTCAACTGTACAAGTCATGTTTTACTAGTTTCAGTCAACTGTATGAGCCATACTGCATGGGTTTCAGTCGACTGTATAAGTCATGTTTTACTGGTTTCAGTCAACTGTATGAGTCATACTGCATGGTTTTTCAGTCAACTGTATGAGTCATGTTGCATGGGTTTCAGTCGACTGTATAAGTCATGTTTTACTGGTTTCAGTCAACTGTATAGGTCATGTTTTACTGGTTTCAGTCAACTGTATGAGTCATGTTGCATAGGTTTAACTCAACAGTCATATAGTCACTACAAGACTATGTGATGAACATTATAACTATTTTGTTCACAGAACTAAGATAACTAAATTAAAATTATTGCAACTAGTCGGTATATGTAAATATCAATTGGTCAGTTATCCATATAATTTACAAGCTTGAAGATACATCAATGTATTATAAAAAATGTCATAGCTTTTTTATGCACAGCTCATTAAATTTTACCAAAAATGAATATTAGCTGGTTACATACAGTAAACATCCCATTTTATGTAAAACCTACTTAAACACAACCATTTTCAACATTAGGACTAACAAATATTGCACTATGTTGTAGCAGCAATAACTTGTACAAATAACTTATGAAATATTTATTTTCTACTTACTTGATCCAAAACAATAAAACTGCTTACCAATTGTTCAGTCACTGACATAAATAACGGAAAGTATAAGAAAGTAGAGCATACAGTTTCTGGTAGCTTTTTAATTAACTTCCACACTGATTTGTTTAACATTTACTCAAATCCTGCAATTATTTTAATTGAGAATCACTTATTTCAATATTTTCAAACCATATTTTGTTACTGTAATTCTAAACTACACTATCGTTAAGATATAACTTTAAGAATCAAGCTATAAAGTTCTGTGTACCTTGATAACTATTAATAAAAACAAACTGAAAACAAAAGTAATCTCAAAATATGACATATAAAACTGGTAAATTTGGCAGAGAAGTAAGAAAAAATATCTTTACTCTCCAGCTAGTAATAATAAAATGTTTTATTTTTGCCAAATCTTTCAGAGAATTGCTGGATAAAATAACTTTGTTCTGAAAACTCTGGTTCCTGTTTGACACAGCTTGTAGGTCATATAGCAGTGGCTTTAAGATATGGCATATGGTTCATAAAATCTTTTTTAACCATATAAAAAATGCAAACTATACAGTTTTTTTTCTTTTATGTTCAGTAAAAGAAAATTAAAATCAAAAGTAGCACATGACACTAAGTCTGAAGATTTTTCGAAAATTACCAAAATATAATGACTGGGTAATTTTATGAATATGCAGTTTTCTGTACATTTTGAGCTTAGTGAACTCTTCATTAGTTATAGAAGTCAAAAAAGCATATTCTTAAAATGTCAGTCACTCTGGTGAATGTTGGTTTCAATATATGATGTTGGAACAAATCCTTCTTCTGAAGTGACTTTTCGAACCCTTGTCCAGCCATCACCCTGGTCAACTTCAATGATAAAAAGTTTTTCATATTTTTCCATTTGTACTTCTTCTTCACTCTGTCCTGTAACATTTAAAACATAAAAAAGAAACAATTATGTTACACATACACAACATCACTGTTTCAACATATGTATTATAACTTTTGTATAAAAAAACACAACTTTTATTTAATCTTTTCTGGAAAAAACCTATTAGAAATGACCAAAAACAGAGTACAAAAAACCACACGTTAAATAAACTAACAAAAATATCACCCTACGGGTGGCCATTTGTGTCAGCAATTGCTAAACATAGTATTCATACCCAATTAAAAAAAATTTAGAAAAAGTGCACAGGAAAAGTGTTCTGATATAAGCTGTAATGTTTCCATATATATATATTAAAAGTTGTACCTTTTTTGGAGAAAATAGCAGTTTTTTTCAAAAACTATTTTTTAGCACTATATTTACAAATTACATCAATAAAGATATAATCAAACCCTCACGTACAGTTCTAGTGAAAGTCGTGTT